CAACAGGAACTTGGTTAATTTGATGGCTCTTCCAAATGCCTTTTTCTCCTTAAAGTGGTATCAATTAATATGTTGAGAGACTTCAATTCCTCTGGGCAGATGATTTCCAGTATTTTAGTAGGAGCTTGTCTAAGAGCCTTCTAAGTATTGCCCATGGTTTGGAAGAGGATGTTAAACATTCCTACCTTTTCATCTGTTTCTGAATCTTCTGAACAAATAAGACTTTTCTTGACAGGAGGTTTTTGTTTTGATTTAAAAATCTGGTATTAATGATTGGTCACCAACTGGTGCTGGGTTAATAATTCAGTTGTCAAGTCTCTGTGCTGCCTATGTTCAACAGCCTTCAAGGATGGAGCCTAAAATTCTGAGATGCATATGGCCAGGATAAAACATGGCCTAGAACATGAATTTTTATATCACGCCGATCTTCCAGAGATGGAAAATGAGCTGTGGAATTTCTGCTTGCTCCTCTGGGAAGCACTCCAAGGGTGCTGGAGCTGGATAGTTAATAAGTGGGGATGTTTTACCCCAAAACTGTGGTGTTTTCCCAAAGCCAGACACCTCCAAGGAGACTGGAGGCCCATCCATGGAGGAGGAGGAATTCCATCTGCAAACTCCCTCTGTAGGCACCCGGCAACTGGATCAGCAACATCTGTTTCTCCCAAGTGCAGCAGTGCTGCAATATTACTTTTTTCCAGCATTCCTCTAATGTGTAGTGTTTTTTCAGATGCCAAGTATGTCGAGGCCATAAATACTTTAGCATGCAGGAGATGTGGAAGGAGGGAAGTGTGTCTGTTTGGATGCCTTTCCCCTTCCCTGCCAGAGGGACCTGTCAGAGTCTGTGAGCACGCTGGGACGCGGGATGAGTGACAGGACAAGGGGGATTGCCTTCAGCTGGCAGAGGGCAGGTTAGGTGGGATATTGGGGAAGGAATCCTTCCCTGTGAGGATGGTGAGGCACTGGCATAAGCTGAAGAGTGGCATCACGGGCAAACTCAACAACTTGGGAAGCTTCTAGAGGATTTTTGAAAAGAAACGCGGAGAATCGGTTGATTCTTGCCGAAATATGGAACCCTTGCAGCATGGGAAATAACATCCACCCAAGGAGCTGAAGGTGTAACCCTGGAGCTGCACAAACTTGGAATCAGTGTCCACCCACTGTGGCTCAGTTTGGGGGCAGGCTGGCAGAGGGAAATGTGCTGCAGGCAAAGCGTACTCCTTTGCTTTTATTTTTCTTCCAATAAATCAAGCAGTGTTCGGTGCAACCCCAAAAGCTTTTTGCCTTTGGATTGGAAAGTGGAGCAGCAGGTAGGTGTGACGCAGGTTTTGCACAGTCACCAAGCTGAACCCACCTTAAGCCAACAGAGAGGGTGAAAGGTAGCAGTGTTTTGGGGCTGAATCGGTGTTTTCAGGCGAGGCAGCACCTCTTTTATAAAAGCCTGTTTCTATGGACTCCTTAAGGAGTTTAGACTGGAGGGCTGTCTCCAGGAGCTGCCCCCTCCCCGTTCCAGGTCCCAGGTGTTTGTCTTGGCAGGAGGCAGTGTCTGCTCGGCCGGGGCTGGGATATTAAATTGAGGGAACACAGAGCTCTTGATGCTTTTCAATAGGGCTTCTATTTAGGTGGGGGCAGGATAGAGCTGTCAGGCACCTGTGATTGTCCGACGGGGAAAAAAGAAGGGATGAGGAGTGGGGGAGAGCCCTGGCAATGTTTTCCAGTTCCATCAATAGAAGGGTGAGAAGAAAGTGTTTCCTGGGAGGTAGAGCCTTGTGCTGGTTTGACTGCTGAGTGCTTTGCTGCAGTCCAGGCATTGGTGGATGGAGAAGCCAAGGATGATACTGGCTGAAACAACATGGGATGGCGCAAGGAACCTCCTGAACTGAGCTTCCCACACGTGGTGAGCCTTGTAAGAGATTTTGCTACAAGCTGAGTGATCCATGTGTGGCCCAAAGTGAGAATTAATCCAGGTATCCTGATTCTGATACTTGGGGTAGTTCTCATTTTCCATATATATTACAGATATGGATTTCTGCATTTAATTTTTAGGGTGTCTGGGGTGGTTGATTCATTTAGTTTCCGTAGAATGGAAATTTAATTTCAGTGGCCTTAACCTGAAGGATGAAAGGTTTGGATTGGGTATTAGGAAGAATTTTTTCCCTGTGGGACCTTGGCACAGGCTGCCCACAGAAGCTATGGCTGCCTCTGGATCCCTGGAAGTGTTTGAGGTCAGGTTGGATGGGGCCTGGAGCAACCTGGGCTAGTGGAAGGTGTCCCTGCCCATGGCAGGGGGTAGAACAAGTTGGTCTTTAAGGTCCCTGCTAACCCAAACCAGTCCATGATTCCATGATTTTGTGTGGGAAACAAGGGGAGTCCCTTTGGAGTCCCCATCCATTTTGGATGCTTGTAGGAGATGCAGGTGGAAGCTGAAACCAGACCATGGCAGAGACCCTTTTTATTGGATAAATCAAACCTCTGTTGGTCTTCATGAGAACAGAGGACACTCAGCTCCTCTTGGTCAAATAAAGGCTTCTGCTGCCCTTGTTTTGAAGAATGGCAGGGGAAAGAGAAAACATTTGGAGAAATCTCCAGGCTTTGAAATTCTCTCTGTTCCCCTGTGTTGGTGCAGGTGTTGGAACTGATCTTGTTCTGTGAAGCAAGCAGGTTCATCCTCCTGAGCTTAGTCTCTCCCATAAAACAGGACACAGCTAGTTCTCCCTTTTCCCACCGAATCCTTCAGTGTCCTTGGGTTGGAAAGTAACTGCCAGGCTCTTTGACACAAGCCTGCTTCACTCTGCTGAGTGCTGTGATCTTCTCATGCTTCCCTTCTAGGTGGGGTCCAACAGCACAGTCCATGTTTGCACCTGTGTGTGACTGAAGGGGTCTCAAGTGGGAACCACCTTCTGGAGGGGAAGGGGATTTTGGCATCCTTAGATCCCTGTGTTCATTCCTGATATTTTTCTTGCTTGTTTCTTACTGAGGATGACTATTTCATGTAGCCTCCTGCTGCTGAGCAAGCTCCAACCTGCTTATTAATCTGCTTCCACTTATTGACAGCCTGCTGTGTTTGGAGATGAATGTAGAGCCTTGAACATGATGTTAAGTTTCAATTATTTAAGCTTGTATCTCCAAGGGGAGATATAAGCTTAAAAAGCTGAAACTTAGCATCACATGAAGTTTCATTTCAGCTCTTCCCAGTGAAGAGCCAGCACGTGGTGTTTCCAGATTAGTGTGTATGACAGAGGGATGTGCAGATCCTGAGGCAGAGAGAGGATGGCTGTAATACAAATGAAGGTTTTCTTGTGGAGAGATGCAGGGAAGCTCTGTGCATCTTGAATTCCCATCTTGTGTTGCTGGTTTGCTTAAAGCAGCTTTACAGATCTGTTCTCCCACTGTTCAGAGCTGGTTTAGGAGAAATTGCTGCTAATTAACGCCTCGGCTCCCCAGGGTGTCACATCAGTGTTTGAAAAACTCTTTCTTTGCTGTACAAAGGCATTAAGGGCAGTTAAAAAACATATCTTACAGCATTTTCTTCTTTCTGAGAGATTCTGTGTCTTAACAAAGTGTTCCCAGTGCAGATACCAGCAGAGTTTGGCATGGAGCCTGGGAGCAGAAGGTGAGAGCATCCTCTGACCTCGTGGTGTTGACCATGGGGTGGTAGGATGGGTTTGACAACCCAAATCCTTTCCTACTCTCTGGTGATCAGTTTTAGAAGCACTTGATAATGGCCACCAGTGTGACTGCTGAGCAAACTTCCTGACGTTTTGAGGGTGGCCTTTCCAAAGCTCACCTGGGAATCAGCTGCCTCACCCATACTGCAAACCGCTAGAAAAGGGGGCATTTGACTTCCTAAAATACTTTTGGAAATCCCACCCATAATGTTTAATACTGAAGGTAAATGTGGCCATTAATGGACACTTCACAGCTCTCCGTTGTGCTCTCTGAATGAAGGGCTCTTTCCTCTTTCCCTACAAACACCCATGCATATTTATAGGGAGTCATGTTCCCCCTTAAATACTGTTGATTTTGGCTCAGGAAGTGATTCCTTAGTTTAACCTGCCCTTGTAGGTTATTTTCTCAAGGCTTTATATTGTTTCTTATTCCCTTATGCTTGTCTGCATCTTTTGCATTTTAGGGGGGAAAAAAAAATATTTTCCAGATTTTGCTTCTTCCATGGATTGTCCAGTAAAGGATGTAAGGGGTTTGGTTCACTCTGCACCATTTCTGCTGGATCAAGGGAAGAAGTGCAGGGATGAAAGGAATCAATGCTCTGAAGTCATTTAGACAGCTACAGATACTTGGGAGCCAGGTAGATGCTGATGGGACCTCGGGCAGGTTTCTTCTGGATTCTCACCTGGGAGAAGTGAGTCTGTAGCAAAGCCAAGGGGTTAATTCACTTCCCTGAGCCTCAGGGCTGAGGTGGTGCTGGCAACAGGCAGGTTTATTCCAGCCACTATGCCCCAAAGGCTGCTTTTGGATTTTGGTGGTCCTGTTGTCCTCCCTATTTCACAGAATCCTGAGGACGCCTCTGGAGAACTCCACAGTAGCGCAGATTCCAGCCTGCCTCCTTCAGTGGATGGAAATTTTGAATGTCATTAATTTAGAAGAAAAAAGTAGTAAAATTAATAGCATTCCAAGATTGGAGACTGCTTTCCTGGATTGCTCCATCAATGTGCTTTTGTGGGAAAAAAAAAAAAAAATTTCCACTACATACTTCTTTCTTGAAAATCCACCACAGCCTTTTCTCCAAGGGAGCCTTGAAAAATACGTGCTCTGAGCACCTCCCTGGACATCTCGTGGCTGGGGGCAAGGATCACTGGGTTGGCACTACAGTTTACAGGGAGGATTCACTTGGAAATGCATAGCCTGCTTCTGCCCCTTTGTCTCCATTCATTTGGAAAACTTCAAGCTCTTTTTATCCCTCTTGCTATTTGTTTTTAGAGCCTCAGGCTGGGTCTTTAGGCTCTAAAATGGCATATGGACATGTTTTCTCTCTCCCTTACCAGGCTGGAATGATAAGAACTGATGAGGATGAATACTTCATTGAGCCTTTGGAAAGAGGAAAGCAGATGGAAGAGGAGAAGGGAAGGATCCACATGGTGTACAGGCGGTCGGCCGTAGCGCAGCGTCCCACCGACGCGCTCCCCGATGTGCACACAGGAGGTAAAATTCCCCCCTGGCATCTATTCCAGGTGACTCCAGCCAGTGGGAGCTTTTGAAGGAGGCTGTGCAACTCCTGTTTAAAGTTTGGGTCCTGTTTCTTTCTGAGTAACAGTGAAATTGTGCCAATTGTATTGTTTTCCTCCTTCTGCTGCTTGCTATGAAACTGGTCTGAAGGCACTTGTGTTGATTGGATATATTTTGTCACATCCAGGAATTCCCCTCTGCCTTGAAGATGATGTGGTTGGTCCATCTGAGAATAATTACCATGTCTGAGAATAATTATCATGTAGTTTAATCCATTTGCTTGTGTGTCTTTTTAATGTTAGACAAATCCTCGTAAGCCAGGGCATTGCATATGGGAGGTTGAGGGTTGTGAGGCTCTGGATGAAAGAGCAGCTCTGCACCCATCAGTGCTCTGCCTTTATTTCAGTATCATTCAGCTTCTCACATTCTCACTGTGTTCATGTTGTGTTCACATATTGTTGAAACTGGAAGGGTTTGGGAAAGAAAAGGAAGTATTTACAATGCACAGAACTAGAGGTGCTTGGCTTTAGATACCCCAGCAAGGCCATTCCAGTTTAACTCAGGCATCTGGGATTGGTTTAGCCTGGAGGAGACCTTCTCTGAAAGGAGGTCAGAACTCCCAGAAAGGAGGTTCTAGCCAGGTGGGATTCAGTCTCTTCTCCCAGGTAAAAAGTGACAGTTCAAGAGGACATGGCCTCACATTGCACCAGGGCAGGTTTAGATTGGATATTAGGAACGATTTCTTCATGGAAAGGCTTGTCAAGCCCTGACACAGGCTGCTGAGGGCCATGGAGGAGTCACCATCCCTGGAGGCATTGGAAAGTCATGTAGGTGTGGCACTTGGGGACATGGTAGCCTTGGCAGTGTGGGGGAATAGCTGAACTCGGTCTTGGAGGGCTTTTCCCTGAAGATTCCTGAAGGTTAAAGCAAGGTGCCCAAGGCTGTGGAGCCTGAGGAAATGTTTGCAGTGGTTGAGTTGTCTGGCTGGTATGAGGTGCACATGAAAGTGCTCCTCTTTCTTCTCTGTCCTTGCTCACCCACCACCGAGCTTGGGCTCGAGGCAGCCTGCTCATGCTTTGGGAGCTCAGCCAGCACGCACAAGAGTCCACATTTTCAGTAACAGATGACTCAACAAAACAGCCATTAAGCTAAAAAATACTTAAAATTGTTGCTGTCAATGAAGGTGTCACAGAACTGGAAGCAGTGTGGCAGTCTTTCTCAGCAGTGACACGGGACACACTGTGTCATGTTTTCCCTACAAGTCACTTTTCTGAGAGAGAGGCTTCCAGCTTTTGCTGTGTGGAAGGAGCTTGCAGTCTGTCAGGACATCTGGTATTCCTGAAGGATTTCACAGCATTTGGGAATTGGTTGGACATTGCTCAAGCAGAGCAATTGTTGGACAGAATGAGTGTAGGAGTTGTAAGTGGAAAAGCTGCCATCCTGAGGGCAGGGTTTGAGCAGTGATCACAGTGCTGAGGAGCAGCAATTGGTTCCTGTCTGGTGCTCTCATGGAAGTCAGCACACCTACCCTGTTTCCTTTAGGGCTGTCCCTTGGATGAAGCTTCCCTGAGCTGTCTTAAGTGGGAACCAGAAATGTGGGGGGTTCTGGGGAAGATACTGGGATGCCTCAAGCTGGATAGCGTGGGTTCAGCCTTCCCACCCTGGAGCAGCACCCTGTGCTGATTTCTCTTGATGGTATCCATGGCTCTGGACAGCCTCTTTAGGGAATGACAGTGGCAACTTGCATGGATTGTTTTCATAATTTGCTTTGTGTGGAGGCTGGTTTCTTTAGAAGCCTTACATGATGCACTCAAGAAATCAGATTGGAAGTCCTGCCCCATTCCTGTGGGGAATTTTGCTTTGTGTGTGTGCACAACCAGTTTAGGTCCCTTGAAGGATTCCTTCATTGATTATTGCCTTTTTATACCTCTGTCTTTTCAGTCATTTTGGTGTGAGTAGGTTCTCTTGCATATAAATGGACCTGAATATTTGGGGTTTGCTTAGCTACCAGGGAATTGTAGATAGTTTTATATCTTCTATGCTTAGAAAATGCCTCTGCTCCCACTCGGTGGCATCAGGGAAATGTGGATCATTTTCCATATTTTGACAGGCTGTTGGCAGGATTGACTATTTGCATGTCATGGCTAATCTGTCTGCTGAGTCAAAGTGTCTTGTTTGACTGTATTCCTTGGAATCTGATCTTCCTTCTGCTAGGTGAGGCAGTGCAGGGAAGCAGTAGGTCTTGACCACCAAATGTTAAAATATTTTCATTAACCCAAAATCCTACTTGGTCCTTGTGCTGTCCATTGGACAGGGTGTTTGCTGGTTTCAGGTGCTGGGCTCAGGTTAGTTCCCCTGGACAAAGGAAGCTCTTCCTCTTCTGTGGGCTGGAAGGCAAGGTCTCCCATGGGAAATCCCACCTACTGAAAAACACTTCAGTGCAGTGGGATGTGACACTGGACATTTGTTTTTAAACTCATCTGGGATGAGCACCCGGTTAGGCCTGGTCTGGGAATCATATCAGGGAGCAGGACAGTGTCTAGAGGTCTCCATGGGTGGAAATACACATGACAGTCTCCTGCCAGCTTTTCCATGTCAGATTGTCCTGGGATGACATTTGTAAGCTCCACTTCCCCAGTCATTTAAGTCTTGATCCTAAAGACACTGAACATCTGCGCTTCTCGTTTGGGTTGAGTACTGCAGGTAGTCAGCATTCATGTTGTGTTACTCCCCAGTAATGTCTCTTAAATCAAAAAATGCTTATCCTTAAGGGCAAAAAGAAACAAAGGCCAAGTGTCCATGTTGGGGGTGAAGGGTCTGAGGGACAGAGAGCGAATGAGCTGTGCAGACAGCGCAGAAAGGAACGGAACAGTGCATGAGGCTGTCATGTTAAAACATGCTTTAAATAACTCCTTACCATTTTCTCACCAAAGCAGCTTTCTACTCAGGAGTGGAAGGAAATGCTCTCAGGACAAGCCTGAGTTTGGGAGGTTTTAGAAGTATAACAATGATATTCCTCTGTCTGGGTGGGATGAAAAGAAGCTGCTCCCTGTAAATGAGCTGGGAAACATCACTGAAATGTGTGATCATTAATCTTATTCCCTGAAAGCACTCAAGGCACAACAGAAACAGGCAAAGAACCTGTAGAATTTGCAATCACATTTGCACCTAGGAGGCCTTCTGTACAAGTTCTGCTGAATTTGGCTCAGGAGTGTGGTAAAACAAAACCCAAGCTATGTTTCAGAAACATAAAAGCCTGATCCAAGTCCGATGGAGTCAGTGGGAACACTCCAGCTGACAGCAGTGGGATGATGAGGCAGGGTTTGGATCATATGCTGCTCGAGCTGATAACTGAGTATTCAGTTTATCTTTCCTCCTGTTTGTTCATTTATCATTTTTCTGTGCACTTCTGTATGGTGGAATGATGACACCCAGCCCTGAGCTTAGCACAGCGTGGTAATGCACTCGGAGCTTTCCTCTTTCATCCTCCTCCTCACACCATAGTATTTTTTAAATGACAACCTATTCACCCAGCAAGCACTTGAGATGAAAGTATTTTTGTAATTACTTCCTAACAGTGGGAAACAAGGAGTAGGAGCCTTTATCTCCCAGCTTCCTTTCAGAATTTTCATTTTCCCCAAAGAACCGAAGTGCCTGTGTGTCTGATGGGGTTGCCATGGCGCTGGCGTCGAGTGTCTTTGTCCCAGGTGGGAAACATGTAGGAGGAAGAAATGATTTGGGAATTGCTCCTGGTTGCCTGGGAATGAAACCCTGGAACAGAAGGTAGAAGAGTGGGAAGACTCTTGCCTGCTTGGGAGAGCTCCCTGTGCACTTCCCCAGGCACATTAGTGGTTCTCAGGGACGCTGTCGTGCCGGAGGGTGTCTGAGCTCTTTCTCAGCAGAATTTCTCATGACCTGTGTTCTGGTGGAGGATATTTTTGATGCTGCACAGCCCACCACACAAGTTTGTGCATCAGAACAATGGGGAAGATGGAAATTATTTCTGTGTAGACTCATTACAGCATGTTGTGTAACATCCTCTGTTCAGCGTGGACATTCTTGTGTAAACACAGGATCCCAGCGTGGTCTGGGTTGGAAGGGACCTTAAGGATCATCTTGCTCCACCCCCTGCCATGGGCAGGGACACCTTCCACTATCCCAGCCTCCTTCAAGGCCCATCCAGCCTGGCCTTGGACACTTCCAGAGACTGGGCAGCTTTTAGGCAGCCCCTGCCAGGGCCTCACAACCCTCAGAGGGAACAATTTCTCCCTAATTTCTGACCACAAGTCTCTCTCATGCTATGTGGAAGTCCCCCAAGAGAGGGCCACCCATAACTTGCATTGATGGCAATAACCTGTGTTGTCTAAGGACATCCTGTTCTTTGTGCAGCATTTCTGGAGCTTCTGCTTTTAATTTAATTTTTCTGGTTCTTCTCTTACATTGAAACTGAAGTGGGTTCTCTGAAGTTCCTCATTGAATATAGTTTGTGGGGTTGGGCTTTTTCTTTTTTTTTTTTTTCAGGTAACAGTTTGATTTAGGAAAAGGTAATCAAATAGAACAGGCAGAGCACTGTATGGTATAAAAGAAAAGGAGCATTGGTGGTGGATGTACAGGAAGCAAAGGGAAACACAGACTTTATAGTGAGGAAAAGCTTAGAATTTTGTGTTTAAGGAAAAAAAAGCTTGAGCAGGAGTGGATCAGAAGGTGCTGTGAAGTGACTGATGTGCACTGTCTGTGTTGGGGAGGTTGTGCCTGATGATGAGAGCAGGAACATCCATCTGCTTAAGTCGTCTGCTACTCTTGGCAATAACAAAGGAAAATGATTTTTAAATAAAACCAAGAATAAAGGCTTCATTCCAATTGCAGGCACCCAGCGCCAGGGTAGTAAAACACACAGAAAAATCTGTATGAAGGGAAAATTGAAAAAATGGAGACAGGTCAGTACATTCAGCTTGCAGCCATTCCAAGGCTCATAC